GTTCTGCAGGTTATTACACTATTCAATATCCAAACAGCCCAACATGCTTTTCTTCTGCAAGAAATCCCTCCACTATTGATTTGGTCTTAACTGATTCATGTCAACTTTGTAGCCAATTGGTTACCCATGCTGACTTCGGTTCTGATCACCTTCCAGTAACTTTTGAAATATCCCAAGAAATAATTTCTAATCCCAACAGCTCTACTTTCAATTACCATAGAGCTAATTGGGAGCGGTATCGAACATTTATGGAATATAACTTCGATCCAAACATTCCTTTGCAAACCAAAGATGAAATTAATTATGCTCTTGAATCTCTGACTACTTCTATAGTTGAAGCAAGAGCTGCCTCAGTACCAAAATGCGAGGTTAAATTCGATTCAATTATAATAGACGATGATCTTCAGCTCTTGATCCGTCTTAAAAATGTCCGTAGGAGACAATATCAAAGAACACGCGATCCTGCCATGAAAGTTATCTGGCGGGATTTGCAAAAACAAATTAAAAAGCGACTCTCTGCCCTGAGGAACAAAACTTTTGAAAATAATATTTCTAAATTAGACCCGAGTTCCAAACCCTTTTGGAAACTCACAAAAAATTTGAAAAAACCTCAAAAGCCTATTCCAGCGCTTAAAGAAGGTGGTAAAATTTTGATCACAAATTTGGAAAAAGCTCAGAAACTTGCTAAGCAATTCGAGAGTTCCCATAATTTCAGTTTGGGTCTTACTAGTCCTATTGAGAATCAGGTTGCTCCTGGTTATCTGAATATTTTCTCTCGGGAAAATATTTTTGATGATTCCTGGGGGACTGATGTGGACGAAGTAAGGTCTATAACTAAAAAGTTTCAAAATATGAAAGCTCCAGGTGATGATGGAATTTTCTATATCGTCATCAAAAAACTCCCAGAGAGTACCTTGCCTTTCTTGGTAAAATTATTTAACAGATGTTTCCATTTGGCATACTTTCCTGATAAATGTTGTTCCAATTTTGAAGCTGGATAAAAATCCAGCTGAAGCTTCTAGCTACCGTCCAATAAGTTTGCTTTCTTCAATAAGTAAACTTTTTGAAAAGATAATTTTGAATAGAATGATGCTTCACATCAATACGAACTCAATTTTTGCAGATGAGCAGTTTGGATTTCGCCATGGGCATTCAACTACTCATCAACTCTTAAGAGTTAACAATTTAATTTGTTCAAACAAATCTGAAGGCCACTCAACTGGAGTTGCTCTTCTAGACATAGAAAAAGCATTCGACAGTGTTTGGCATGAAGGTTTGATTGCTAAATTGAAAAAGTTTAATTTTCCACTTTATATTATGAAATTAGTTCAAAATTATTTAACTGACAGAACTCTTCAAGTAAATTATCAAAATTCCAAATCTAATCGACTACCTGTTAGAGCAGGAGTTCCTCAGGGTAGCATTCTTGGGCCTATATTGTATAACATTTTCACTTCGGACCTCCCTGATTTGCCTCAGGGTTGCCACAAATCTTTGTTCGCTGATGACACAGGCATTTCCGCTAAAGGAAGAAGTCTTCGTGTTTTTTGCAGCAGACTGCAGAAAAGTTTAGATATTTTCTCTTCTTATTTACAAAAATGGAAGATTTCTCCCAACGCTTCCAAAACTCAACTTATAATATTTCCACATAAGCCTAGAGCTTCGTTTTTGAAACCTAGTAGTAGTCACATAGTCACTATGAACGGAGTTCCAATTTCCTGGTCAAACCAAGTGAAATATCTTGGATTAATACTTGACCAAAAATTAACTTTTAAAGATCACATTGAGGGCATTCAAGCCAAATGTAACAAATATATAAAATGTTTGTATCCTCTTATAAACAGGAAATCCGTTGCTGTGCCAATATGGTCTAGTTGCTGCACTACTAGGAAAAAAGCACTTCAAAGGATTCAGAACAAAATTCTGAAAATGATTTTGAAGTTGCCTCCCTGGTACAGTACAACCGAAGAATACATAGAATTTCGAATGTTGAGACTTTAGCACAAATGTCCAACAAAATAATTAATAATTTCAGGCAAAAATCGTTGCAATCCTCAATTGCAACGATTAATTCCCTTTATATTATATAAGATTTAGTTTTAGTTTTTAGTTTTAAGATATCAATTGTTATACTGACATGCAGATTAAAAAACCTGTTTAAAATACTGAATTGCCAAGACATGAACAATGTAAAAACACTTAGATATATATCATAACAATTAAGGCTGGTACGTTACTGCAGTAACTGGAGCACCTAGGTTAAAATGAAATGTAATTTATTTTGAATTTGGAACAAATAAAGAGTTAAAAAAAAAGGATAAACTGAAAGGCAGCCGAACAATTTTCTCTAGCGAAGGAGAACCAGATTGAATGCGTAAAATCCGAATGCTAACGATTTAAATAGCCGAGTCAGATAGTTTTTGGCTCACTGATTTAAATCAGTTGAATTGGCCACAGCAGTTTTAAGCTATTTGCGTGACGCTTATGTTTATGTGTTGCTGTATAACAGTTTTCTCGATATTAATAGCGATTTAAATGTGTCAATGTATGTTTAAAGCTAGAAAATAAAAAAGTGATTCTTTCTGCAAAATTCTCATTCAGCTCACTCAGCAGAATGCAATCGTAAAAGGCTCAGCATGGAAAAAATAATAAGAGAGGAGTCATCCACACCACTACACTCAGAATCATTCATGTTACGCTCAGCTGTCTGTTTTGCTCAATTCTGTATTCATCGAAGAAAATAGAAGCAATGCGAATACGAACGAAATCAGTGCGGCTCGCACAAGCTGCTGTTCGTTTCTGATGTTGTATACGTGTGAGTGAGTTGAGAATGCAAAATGGAACGATTTTTCCCATGCTTGTTCAAGAGTGTGCTGGATGCGCAGCAGTTAGCTCACAGGCCCACCGGAACCCATGTTGCGAAAGGAAATGCCAGATCGAGCATGGCAAGAAATTGCAATTGATTTCTTCACGGCCAAAGAGTGTGCAACGTTCCTTGTAACCGTCGACTACTACAGCCGCTTCCTTAAGGTTATTGAGATGAAGGGCACTAACGCAGTTAAGACAATCGATGTCCTTGAAGCCATTTTCCTAGAGCAGACATACCCGAAGACAATTCGAAGCGATAATGGGCCACCTTTTTCCAGCGAAGAGTTCTCTAATTACTGCGCAAGGAAAAATATCCGGCTAATACGTACGATCCCATATTAGCCACAAATGAATGGCCTAGTGGAAAGGCAGAATCAAGGCATTTTGCGAACCTTGCGCATTGCTAAAGCAATTAATGCAGATTGGCGCAAAGCGATCCGGGACTATGTATATGCATACAACACAACATCTCATTCGGTAACGGGTAAAGCACCAATGGAACTGATGACCGGTAGACCGGTTAAAGATCTTCTTCCATCTCTGAGAACCGAGCCATATTGGAGTCGGGATGAAGAAGCTCGGGATTATGACGCGATCAAGAAGATGAAGGGAAAGCTGTACACGGACCATCGAAGACACGCAAAACCGTCAGAGATCGACGTTGGAGATGATGTTATGTTGAAAAATTATGAAACCGGAAAACTCGAATCTAAGTTCAAACTAGACAAGTTTACGGTGGTCAAAAAGAGTGGAAATGATGCGATTGTCACAAACAAAGAAGAAGTTTTGTACAGCCGCCCTGTTTCTCATCTAAAAAAGTGGCCATCGGTGATTGACACTGAACTCGATAAGTTCACTTCAAAAAAATTCCAGTCTAGTGACCATTCGAATACACCAAAGATGGGATCACCTGTAGCGATGAGCGATTCGACCACGGGAACAAAGCACACTGAGGATCCTCCTGAAGCGTCACCAGCGTTGAGGAAAACTCGACACCGAACAAGCGATTGCACGATGAAGTTGAAGAACGTGACATTTTAAGTCATCCAAAGCGCGAGAAGAAGTTGCCGGCACGATATATTAATAATACAGCATAAACAAGCAGTAGAGGAGGAAGCTCGGTTTTTTTTTTATGTTAGGGTAGAAAAGGGATGTAGAGTTGATAAACGTAAATATGGCAACCATTCTCCACCCTCGGAAGAGACCTATGTATATCGAGCGGGAGAATCAAAGAGAGTGAGAGAGAACGGACGACGACAAACGAGCGCCTCGGTGTAAGGGAGATTTATTGAGGCAGAAGCCGATTAACGATTGTTGCGACTGGTAGTGAATAAAACGGTCTGTTAAAGTTAAAGTGGTTAAACGAGTTTTATTGGCGAGTTCCGAAAGTGTTCCTTCTGGTGAATTCGATTGTTGCCTCCTGGAGGGACTCTACACTAATGGTTTTATGATTGCTTTTATAATGATAGAACAGGTTTATAGAGTATTTTATCAAGACATTAATAAAAAATTGCTAATGAAGTTTATGATTGATTTATAGAACAGTTTTATGGTGGGATTGAGAACTACTTTAAATTTAATTTTAAAACAAAACAGTTTTTGACTTCTCTCCAGATTGTAAAAGGTTTTTAAAACAGCGAAAAGGTGAACTACTAAGCAGGAACGGTTTACACTGTGAAATGCTGTATTTAAACTAAATGGATTATTCATTGCCATTATAAACCCATCATAAATCAGAGTGGATGCCAAATGATTGCATAATTGTTACTTGGGATATATAGCTCATTGAAAGCGTAGTTATCATTTGATGGACCACCCACAACTGTTTACATTGGAAATTTGCAAAACATCAGGTCGTATGTACAGTTTTTATGTTACTGCCAAATGTGCTACATACGACGATTGATACCCCTATAGAATTTTGGCATCGTATGTAAACTATGTTTTGATTCGTTGACGCATACGAAAAGTACTTTTTTATGAGAATATAAAACAGAAATGAGGTAGTGGGCCCGTTTGTATCATATGACCTATTCAAAAAGGACTCCAGAATTGAGCGAAGTTTCATGAAATTCTCAGAGGTAAAATCTAAAATTTGTTTATTGTTTTTTTATTTAGTGCTTTCTGTACCGTTTTTCATAAAATACAATGCATCTCAAATCCCTAAAGGATTATCTAGCAAATTCGCAAAAAGACTATGAATGTTCTAGAAAGCAAAACAGACAAAAATCAAAGTGATCGCTTCGCGTAATAAGAGACATTCGACATCATTACACCATTAGGAACACTCTTTGGGGTAGTCAACGGAACACTAGCATAACAATATTTCACAGTCTTCGTCTTCGCAAATGTCACAAAGCTGTAGTACCTTCCCTTCGTACTTTTGGATGGCAAAACGATCTGTAATCGGCCGAGATTGAAACATCAGCTTATAGCTAAATTAAAGCAAAATTTACCATCATGATAGTAGTCATACACCACAACGTACGCCGGCAAATGCAGGGCAACTTTGAACCGACGATAGGCAGCCACTTGGAAGCACTCCTCCTCTGAGCCCAAGCTTTCATAGTAGACAACAACCGAGGTGTCTGAGAAGCGCCGTTCCGTTTTCTGAAATGGGAGAAATTGAACGGACCTGTTCCAGGAAAAAGTAACTCAAATACAAAATATACCTTGACTCCCCCGGTTATGTCCTTTACAGCTTCAACTTCAGCTAACATTCCACTGGGAAAGAATGTCTCCACAAGGGCCATGTTTGACCGATCATAAGCCTCTTTAGGTTTGTATTTCACACATACCTTCAAATGTTGCACGTTATAGGTAGTTGTGTTGAGCAGCTTGACTTCCAGATCGAAACTGGGCTTTGCCACTTGGATATTGTGGTAATATTGATACGCTACTTGGAAATAACCATTTCCAATGCCATCCACTTCAATCTTGAGCTTCCGAATGTGGTTTGGAATGTCCATCTCTTGAATGGTCATTGATTGTGCTTTTTGGATATGGTATGACTTGAGCTCCAGCTGTCCGTGGTATATTCTAACTCGATAATCGTTTCTAGTGCCGGACATTTTCGCTGCAAATTTGGCCAATGCTTTGAGCCCAACAAACGTATCCTGTGTCCCGGCGTAGCCGCCAAGACCGTATCTTTGCCTGTTGAGCCAATGCATTATCGGTGTGGCATCGTAAAACATGTCATTGGCGATGTACGACAGTAGAGCGTATCCAGCCACTTCCACACCAACAGGGTCCCTGTTCCAGTATCGCTCAGTAGCATTGTCTGCGAAAATGGAATTCTCAATAAGCTTGTTGAGAAAATTCATCCGCTTTGAATGCTTAATTAGAGACAATCCATAAGCTGCCAATGACAGATCGTACACATCGTTGATGTTTTCAAAGTTCGTCACTAGGTATTGCGCAGTTTTCTGAACAACTGACTTATACATTTCGGCCACTTCCTCGTTTTCTCCAAATGCAATCAATACATACGATGTGAGAGCGTAGCTGGTCGATTTCAAGCCTCCTTGCATACTCACAGAGAATACCCTGCCCACTTCTGGGAATTGCCCATCTGAACTCTGCTTAGACGCCAGCCATTCGAATGCTTTATTTACAACACCCCTGTCCACGTTGATGTACTTATCGGCTATCTTGAGGGATTTGGCCACAAATGCAGTTAAAAACGTACTGCCGGCAGAAGATTGGCCCCAGATGCTGAATGCACCATCCGATCGTTTGTATCGGAGTTGATTCTGATAGCCACTGCTGAGAAAGTTGATTGCTTTGGATCTGATGTGATCCGCTACAGTACCAGTTTCAGAGAGATAATCCAGCACGACGATGTTCGGTACAAAGTTGATCATATTCTGCTCACCGCATCCACTTGGTTTCCGTATCAATCCGTCTAGGTTTTCAATAGTTTTTCCCAGAATATCGGCTAGAATTGAAAGATAAATAGCTTCTATCCGGATTCAATCCAATCCTGTGAATTAACTTACGATCCAGCGAAAATTTGATCTTAGCAGAGCCTTCGTCGATGGTCCGAGGGATGTCCAAAATAAAGTCAAAGGCGTTTCTTCCAAAATTTTCTGTCAGCTCAATAAATCGGGGTTCGTTTCTATCGGTCCGTTGGCTCTCGGGAGTCACGCGTAACATGTGCTCTAAGGAGTCCGTGTCTAGCGAGCTGTTTGCTTGAAACTTGATAGCAATTTTTCCAAGGACTTTGGCTTTGATCATGAACGAAACGGGCCTTCCATTGTTGTTCGGGACGGTCACAGTTTTCGTCCGTACGTTAGCTGAAAAATAAGGACAATTTTGAAAAGCTAACAGCTATTGATTTCACTGCGATTAAGTGTTATTGCCTAAAATTAAAGGAACTGCAATGATTTTCCCTGAAGATCCCGAAGTACTTGCAACTGCCCTGAAGTTTACAAAACTTCAATTGAAATGTTTTTGGTCATTCTGATGATCATTGAAGCTAGATTTTCTTAATTTCAGTGGAGTTATAACCCTGTAGTAAAAACGAAACGACTTATGCAGTTTCAAGATTTACACAGAAAATTTGTAATTGTTTTCTAAGTTCATGTAACTGCACTTAATTTATCTTACTAATTATAATACTAATTCTTCGAGATCTTTAACCATCAGCGATAGTCTATTACAAAATTCAGGACTTTCCTGGAATTCTCGGAATATCTCTGAAGCTATTGGAACTACCCTTAAGACCTGTGAGATCCATGAAGATCTCAAAACCTAGCTTACCTGAGCTTCTTGGAACTTCTTAAAGCGTTAACAATTTTCCTCAAATTCTCTGAACATCATGTCATGATGTCACTACATGGCGCCAGTGTGCATGTTTAATTGATTCCAAACTTTCCAAAATGATTAAAACTTTTCTGAAGTAATTCCAAGCCTTACCGAATGAATTCAGAACTTGCGGAAGTGATTTTAAACATTTATTAATTGAATCGGTACTTTCCGGAGCAGTTCCGAAGTTAACGGAAGTGATCAGGGATTGATTGATTGATTTATCTTTATTAGGGAGGCTTTCAGCCTGGGGCTGGTTCGCCTCCAAAGTGATCAGGGAATCAAAAATATCTCCAAATGACAAAATGACAAGCAATCAACGAACCGAATGAGAACGCTATGTCAGAAGTGGAAAGTAATAATGATATAATATTCTTCTTTTTTTTCATGACAAGCAGCCCTTGCGACACAGCTCACTCGGGGCGGTAGAAGGAAACGAGCAAATTGTTGGCCAGTTGCTTCACGAAGTAAAGCCGAAGATGATGCACATGTGTTAATGGGATTTTTTTTGTGATGTCTTTTCTCGATTCAGATCAAGCTATGTCCTCATCCGTGTACATTGCAACAAGGCAGGCAAGCAATATAACATTATCCTTCTACCGCTCTGATCGAGCTATGTTACAATGCGAGTTAGTCATGGTAGTCGTAGCAACCGTTTTGTCTGTATCGTTGGTTGCTTTATGTGTTTGGATTCGCAGGAAGTGATTAAGTACTTTTCGAAGTGATTCCGAACTTTTCTGAAACTAGTCAGTACTATCTGAGGTGATTCAAAACTTGTCTTAAATGATTCAGTTCTTTCCGACTTGATTCAGTACTTGCGGAAGTGACAACACGCTTTTTTGAATGATTCAGTTAGTGTTGAATAAATAATGAGTTAGTGTTGAATAAATAATGAGTAGAATCAAGTGAGCGTGAAGCGTGATAGTTCGTATGTAAACAGAATCTCATTGGTTAGAGAATTTTGATAGGTTAGCAGGTATAAATATAAAGCACCTAAGCTCGTTGAAGTCATTCTTGTATGGGATGGTAGAAAGAATTACCATGACCTGATGAATGGTAGATAGAATTACCATGACCTGATGGATGGTAGAAAGAATTACCATGACCTGATGGATGGTAGAAAGAATTACCATGACCTGATGGATGGTAGATAGAATTACCATGACCTGATGGATGGTAGAAAGAATTACCATGACCTGATGAATGGTAGATAGAATTACCATGACCTGATGGATGGTAGAAAGAATTACCATGACCTGATGGATGGTAGAAAGAATTACCATGACCTGATGGATGGTAGATAGAATTACCATGACCTGATGGATGGTAGATAGAATTACCATGACCTGATGGATGGTAGATAGAATTACCATGACCTGATGGATGGTAGAAAGAATTACCATGAACTGATGGATGGTAGATAGAATTACCATGACCCGATGGATGGTAGATAGAATTACTATGACCTGGTAATTCTGTATGGGATGGTAGATGAGAATTTCTATTATCTGATGGATGGCCTGAAGAAATTTAGAAATAGTTGGAATTGCCATAACTTGATGGATGGACTGAGGAAATTTTTAAATAGTTGGAATTGCCATGACCTCATGGATGAAATATCTCTGAGATGGTAGATGAAAGTCCCCCGAGAGGGTAGATAAAATTCCACCAAATATGTGGATATAATGCCCCCCTTCCTCAATTAAGGAGAGTAGAAGAAGGGAAGAATGTAGAAGATAGAGTTAGTGTTGAATAAATAATGAGTAGAATCAAGTGAGCGTGAAGCGTGATAGTTCGTATGTAAACAGAATCTCATTGGTTAGAGAATTTTGATAGGTTAGCAGGTATAAATATGAAGCACCTAAGCTCGTTGAAGTCATGAGCTCGACATTCGCTGCCAGACTGTTGAGCAGTTCAGTCGATTTGAATTCTCTCTAGTTTCGTTCGTTCGTTCGCAAGTCGAATTAGCTCCGCGTTGTGTAGTGACGCTCTCGCTGACCCAGCCATGGGTAAGAAATCGCGCGGTAACGCGAGTGCCGGTTTACCGGGAAAACAGACTCTCCCAGGAGACGGCGCGACCACCGAGCCAGCCCAGAAGAAGCAGAAGAAAACCCCATTGCCCATCCCGACAGGCGTTGCGGACCCGCAGCCGGGGCCTCCCGGAACTAAACGACCCAGACCTGAAGACAGCAGCGCCACCGTATCAGCAGCAAAAAAGCTGCTGAGCAACAATCCGTTCTCCGCCCTGCAGAACGGAGCCCAGCCGCAGTCGGACCCTGAGACGGTGCCGAAAAAAGTTAAGTTGCCACCCTTCTATGTGAAGGGCTTCCCTCCCGGGCTATGGGAGCAGCTGGATTTCTACATTAAGCAGGGCCTTCGCTGCACCATTCAACGGTGCACGGAAGGCTACAAACTGATGGTCCCGGCCGAAAAACACTTCAACGCAGTTCAGGCCCTCTTGGACAGAATGAAGCTGGAGTACTTCTCCCACGACATCGAGGCCACCAAGCCACTGAAAGTGGTGCTGCGCGGGCTCCACGACATGGACACCACCACCTTAATGGACGAGATTAAGGCGAACGGCCTCAAGCCGGTCGAAGTCCACAAGATGACCCGCAGCAAGGCCATCAAGTATCGTGACCAGCTCTACCTGGTCCATCTGGAGAAGAACTCCACAACCGTGAAGGATCTCCAGACGACACGCACACTGTTCCACATCGTAGTGAAGTGGGAGCGGTATAAACCCACCCACCGTGGCGTCACTCAGTGCTCGAACTGCCTATTGTTCGGGCACGGCACCAGGAATTGCCGCATGGCCAGCCGCTGCATCAAATGCGGCAAAAACCACAAGATCGACAACTGCGACAGCATCGAGGAAGCCACTCCCACATGCGCCAACTGCGGTGCCGCCCACAAGGCCACGAGTAAGGCCTGTCCGAAGCGGGCCGAATACGCCGAGATCCGGAAGAAGGCCTCGTCCAACAGCCAGCCCGGTCGCAAGAAGGTTCCAGAAAACAACGCGCAGAACTTTCCTCCGTTATCACCGGTCCAATCACGGCCAATTCCAGTGTTGCCGCCGCTCCCGCTCAACCAACAGTTGGCTGCCGCTGCAGTACCCGGTCAAGCCTCCGGGCCATCGACGGATCCCCCTGCTCCGGGATTGGCCGGTACAACCGGTGAAGCTACAGACGATTCTCCGCTGTCAACGGATGAGATCGTCACACTGTTGGCCCAGGCCATCATCATCAAGCGCACCTGCGCAACAAGAACACAACAGCTCCAAGCTATCATCTCCTTTGTCGCTAATTATGGACCGTGAACCCATAAAGATCACCAACTGGAACGCTCGCTCCGTAGGGGCGAAAAACATTGAGCTTGCAGACTTCCTCCGCAAGCACGACATCGACGTGGGCCTTCTCACCGAGACCTACCTCAAGACCGGTGACAGCTTCTGGCTGCCCGACCACAGCATTGTCCGGCTTGATCGCACCAGCTCCAGGGGGGGCGGTGTCGCGGTCATCATCAAGAAAGGCATCAAGTACTGCACCCTACCCCACTACCGCACTTCCATCATCGAGGCCGTCGGCGTAGAGGTGGAAACATCGACCGGAAACATCCGGTTCATCGCCGCCTACTGTCCCCGGCAATGTACCGTTAGCAATGGTACAGCACAGCAGTTCAAGAACGACCTTGCCATCATAACCCGCACCAATGCCCGCTTCGTAATCGGAGGGGACCTGAACGCCCGGCACGAGGCCTGGCGGAACTACCAGCAGAACCAGAACGGCCGCCTGCTATTCGACCATTCCCAGCATGGTCTCTATTCCGTCTGGTTTCCGGACGAACCAACCTTCACATCACCGACGGGCAACCCATCGACGCTGGACCTGTTCTTGGCAAACACCAGATTAGCCAAGCCGGTTGCCGTCAACGACCTGAGTTCGGACCACCAACCGGTGCTGACCGAGCTGGGCTACAACGTGGCCCCTGCACCGTGCCAGCGGAAGGACTACCATCGAGTCAACTGGGTCCAGTTTCGACGCGTGGTCGACCGCCATATCGACGTCAACCCACCGCTCGACACAGTGGAGGACATCGACCGGGCCCTGGAGGGTCTCCATCAAGCCATATCCGTGGCTGACGAAGAGTGCGTTCGACGAGTTCCTGTGAGGGGTAAGTTTCAAGCAATTGATTCCCACACCAAACTCTTGATTCGGCTCAGAAATGTTCGTAGACGCCAGTTTCAGCGGACTGGGGATCTGCAGTGTAAATGCGAAATGGTCGATCTGAATCGGCAGATCGCTTCCAGAATGGTCTCAATTCGGAACGAGAGTTTCGGGCGGCTCGTTCATAACCTGGACGACCGTTCCAGACCATTCTGGAAGGTTGCCAAGGTGTTGAAGTCTCACCCCAAGCCCATTCCACCACTTAGAGTCAATGACGAACGGCTTATCACCAACGAAGAGAAGGCCAATGCAATTGGGGAGCA